ATCGTTTCATCCGTCCCTAACGTCCGTCCCTAACCAAAAGAGACGATCGTTCCATCCGTCCCTAACTAAAAAAACAGCAAGAAAAGGAGTGTGTTGTCCAAGAATTAAAGCTCAACGGATATCCAGAGAAATTCATCTTCCAGACAAGTTCCAGCAGGTCGTTTTCCAACACTAATGACGAACCGGAAATTAAAGGGTTATCTTGTATTCCATACATGAAAGGCATATCAGAACAGATAAAACAGCTGCTTAAAAGTGCTGGTATTAAGACAATATATAAACCCATGCAAAGCTTAGGGGACATTTTTGGTAAACCAAAAGACAAGCAGAAGATCACGGAGATTAAAGGCATTGTTTATAAATTTGAATGTCCAGATTGCTCATTTAAGTATGTTGGAGAAAGTAAGAGGTCGTGGAAATCACGTTGGGCAGAACACAAACCAGGCGTAAGACGGGAGATTAAGTCAGCAATCAAAGACCACGCAGAAAGCACAGGACACAATGCCTCTATTAACAATGCTACAATCTTAGAGAAAAGAGTACATAATTTAGAAAAACGAACGTTCCTCGAGTCGATGCATTCAATATTAGACAATAAAACAATTAACAAACACAAAGAATTCCCACGCATGTATTTATCGCTTGTGCAATCATGTGGCAATAATGACGATATTTAAAAACCTTGAACTATCCGAACTGCTCTTAGTACTCTGATGAAGGTTGCAGTTAGCAACCGAAAATTTAGAACTTTTTAGACTTTTTATTGTACATATTCTAGTATTTTAAAAAGAATTTTAGACCAGCTTCAACTCCAAAACTATCATATATATATATAAATATATATATATATATATATATATATATATATATATATATATATATATATATATATATATATATATATATATATATATATATATATATATATAAAAGGGCCACTTCTTCAGGCAAATTGTGAGATTATTTATTAAATTCCTCAGACGTTTCGCCGGTTAAGGCTTCATCAGTGAGTGCAATAATCTGAATATGATTATATATATATACTGCAATGTTGCAGTTAGACATTTCAGAGTTAGTTTAAATAATTTCGGAGAAAGACACGCACCAACTTTGGATTGAAAGTATATCTAAGAATGTCCTTGAAGACTCCATTCTGCCCATTTCCGCCTCCAGGTCATTTTTCTGCTGTTGCCAGCCACTGATATTATACTTACGCGACAGAATACGATACTATATTTAATATGACAGAAATGACAGGCATACTTACTGGCTTTAGACCTTTTAATTCGTATAATTATTTCGAAAGAGAGCGGCTAGCTATGGAAAGTAGAATGTTGTGTTTTAAAAGTCAACACATAGGCTACCGGTTAAACACATGCTCAAGGATATTCCTTTAAAGTTAGTGTTGAAATTAATTGGGGCAACAGAAAATGGCTTGGAAATATATGGGATTTAGAAAGCAAAATGTGACTGGGAAATGGGATCAAGGCTCTTCCTTCAGGACCCTAGCTCTTAAAGTAATTTATAACGTTACAAAATTGCTTTCGAACAGCAAGTATACTTATTAATTAATAAAATTACTTAAAAAATAATCAGTGTTTATAGTAACGCTTATTTTAGTAACGAGTATTTACAACACTGCTATACGGTTCATGGTCCCTTGTTTGTTGGAAATTTGAGGAAAGATCTACCTCGACTATGTGCTATCCCTTCTCATGTACGATTATTTTTACTATATAGGATTGGAGTTCCTAGGCCTGGACATCAGCAATATTAATTTTTATTAATGTCTTGTGATTACGATGTGCGTGTCCCATCGAAATGGACGGTTCCTCATAAAAAGATGTTGACGGAAGTGGAAGACAAAGAACTATTTGCCCTGGACAAACTTCTTCATTGGGTGAATGAAACAAGTCTAACAACTGAGGAAGGAGCAAAAATCGTTTTCAAGAAGCTTGATGCACACTTCTATCTCCGTTGTTTATTCCCAATCCTTCCTGATGACTCAACGAGCGTAAAGATATTTCAACTCAACCTGCATTTCTTGATACTGGGCTACATTATTGACGATAAAATTGAAAAGTACAACCAGGACGAAATTAATGAACTTATTAGTGGCTACAACAACCTAAAAAACCAAGTATCAAAAACGTTTCCGAAATTTCCAAGTATATCTGAAATGAAGCACTCACTATGTAACATGAAGAACGATTACTCGATATCTGCAGTCGCAACATTGGTTGATTATGTAAACAAAACTACGTTAATATTGCTTGAAGGAGACGTAGCCGAGGACAAAGTAGTTAATTATCGAAAGCGCTTGTCGAATGCCATTGCTGTATATTTAGATGCACTATTGTCCAAAACAAAAACTGGATGCGAGATTTCGGAGAATGAGATGCTGTGGAGACGATGTTTTGACGCGCTTGCACTTGGAGTGTACATGTCAACGGAAGTGTTCAGTAAAACCCTCGTCAAGAAACATGTGCTACCTATCAGCGAGTTCTACAAATTTTACTCCCTAAGCATCCTATTTTGCGTGGTCATCAACGATCTGTATTCATATGAACGAGACAAAATGGACGACAGTGATAGTATAATAAAAGTTTGGTTTACACAGAAAAATGTGACAGATATGACAACAGCAGCATCGAAAGTTGCCAAAATTCTCAATGCAATAATACAGCAGATGTATTTGTTTGTCGAAGAAGGTAAAGCGTAGTATCCTGAGTTGTCAGAGTGGTTTGAGAGCATTGCGTCCATGACAGTTGGTTGGATATACATACATAAGACGGTTGTGCCACGGTATGTTTCCTCGCCGTTCCAAGTGACTCTTGTCGAGATCCCAGAGAAAATGATTTCAAATTGGTTACTTGAGAAAGATGTTTACGGACAGAGCGTAGTCCAAGAGTTCTTAGGAAACTTGAATGATCCTCGGCAAAACTACTGTGCAATTGAATTAGGTTATTAAGCGATTTTGAGGGTTGTGATCAGTTCTGATTTAAGTATACTGGTTAAGGTGGCTCCATACAGTTCCGTTGTACAAGTACCTTATTCCGCGAAAATTTCAATTTATAAATTTTATCACTTCATCTATTAATTTCAAGCATTCTAGAGTATAAATTAAGTATTTGATAGAAAACGTTTGCAATATTCTTGAACATAATATTGTTTCCATGGTAGCAGTAGTCTCGCCAAATACGGTATTTTTTGCTATTTTAAGAGGTTTTTTATTCTTTATTTTTCGAATATTGCCGGTGACACTCCATTTTTAACTGCTGTATAGCTTTCACTTTTAATGCGGCATCTTGTCCCTGAAAATAAAAAAATTCTGTAGATTCGAATAGCCAGAATAAAAAATTGCGGATTTGAAGTTTTCCAATCTACGTTTTTTTTTTAATTTTGATATTATTCTATTTGTTTTAAAAGAAGTGATCGTTGTGCCAAAATTCATGACATGCATGTCACCGTGCAAAATTGTGAATTACGCCGTTTTATTGTGGTATCTCACCCGCTCGGCCGAAAGTTTTTCGAGGTCTGCAAGATCAATGAATTGACATGCGCGTACATGTTTTCGCAGGCGCATCTCCAGAAAAACACGCACAAAAAAGTTTTTATTCTTGTCGAAATATCAAATTTAAGTTGTGTTTTCTTGCATCAGAAATGCAAATATCTTTAGTTTTGCGCGCTAATTACTCGGGATAACGCCAAGAAAACCGATGATGGTATAAGATATGTGTGACGTGTGCGAACTTAATTTTGGCTTTTCAACATAGTTTTACTGTATATTTGTTTTCAGTCGTGTATTTTCATGTTGTTGTTGACAATTTTAAAACAGTTTGAGCAAAAGCGCATGATGCCGTTTCATTGAATTCCTTTGCTGTTATTAACACTTTCAATCTATTTACCAGTTGTATAAGTTCAAAAAATCTGGATATGAACTTACATAAATCGCCAAATATTGCCGAGTAAGAAACTTTTCGCCGATCGCTAGTTTTCATAAGAGTTGTAATTGAAGGTTAAACCACAGGGGGCCCCACTATGAGTTATGATTGAAATAATATTGTATTTATTTTTAAAAACCTACTTGAATCCCTTGATAATCGATTATTTGTTCTCTCGAAGTTCTGTAAACCTTTCGAACTGCTTGGAGTCATTATACTATCACTTTACATGACGTTTCACGAAGTATAGATGATCGCTGACAAGTAAGAACGCGGGCGCGGAAAGACGAAGGCGGCGAAAGAAGGTAGAATTGAACTAAAGGGTTGAAACTTCGACTAGATGACATTTCTAAATGCCTTAAAATTCACAATTTATTTGTGTTTTCGAATATTTTTTTTCAGATTCTATGTCTTTTTGGATATATCTTCACAACTGATGTAGTAGATTCAATAAACGATTGTTTTTTCGTATGTTTTTACATGAAACACTCGAAGGGTTTTTTCGCACAATGTGTTCCATAAGTAGGTTGTTCTCGTGACGTCAAGTATAATGAGTCCGAGCCATTTAAAAGGTTTACAGAACTTCGAGAGAAGAAATAATGGATGATCAAGGGATTCAAATACGTTTTTAAAAATAAATACAATATTTTTTCAATCCTAACTCACATTGGGACCCTGTGCAAAATTGCCGGAGAACAACCTACTTATGGAACACATCAAACGATGACCCGCCGAAGTTTCAACCCTTTAGTTTAATTCTACCTTCTTTCGCCGCCTTCGTCTTTTCGCGCCCGCGTTCTTACTTGTCAGCGATTATCTATACTTCGTGAAACGTCATGTAGAGTGATAGTATAATGACTCCAAGCAGTTCGAAATGTTTACAGAACTTCAAGAGAAGAAATAATCGATTATCAAGGGATTCAAGTAGGTTTTTAAAAATAAATACAATATTATTTCAGTCACAACTCATAGTGGGGCCCCCTGTGGTTAAACATTGTTTTTTACCTTAAAATATCTTCTAGAAAGTTTAGTTATTCAATGTTCAGAGCTAAATCAGGACGAATTTTGTTCGTTGAGAAAAAATATTAATAAGAACAAGGAAGACTCAAAACATCAAATTAAACATGACTAATTGTCGTTAGGATTTTAGACTGCAAAAGTATTTATTTTTGCATATATATATTTCAAAACATTTTCGCGCAAAAACTCAAGATTATGTACCAGTTCCCCGATGATGAAAAGTGCATGGAGCCACCTTAAACTTTGTGGTCGGTTGTACAAAGGCCGCATATCGCTATCTACAGGATAGTGATAAGTTCAAATAACAGCATGAGCTCCACCTTTGAATTTACTATATGAGTATATATATTCTTTATTATCATTATCTTTATCATCAACATCATTATTATCATTATGATATCCCGGCACATTTTGAATATATCATAATAATAAATTCGCGGCACCTAACACTAACCCTAACCCCAACCCTAACCACTAACCCCTAATTCCTAACCCTAACTTTTTAAACTTTTTTTGAAAATCAAACTTTTAAACTTTTTAAAAATTTTAAAACTTCTTTTAAAAGCTATTTTTTTAAATCCTGAGAGTTTAGTGCAGAAGAGCTATTGCCATAGTCCGGTCTGGCGACCGCGCGTCCACAGCAGATGATAACTTAAAGGTTAGATAGATAGCTTTATTTAAACACGCTAACCTCGTCACGAGGAGCGTGTAAAGAAGAAGTATACAGCAAATATTGAGAGTATTTAAAAGCTATTTACAAAATAGAAGATATATACGGTAGTATAAAATATATTAAGTATTAAGATATAAGGTGTATAGTATAGGAGGTAATAATGTATTTACATATGCATATGTTTGCTTTTAAGCCTAGTTCTCATTCATCGCAAACCGTCGGCGATGGGAGCTTTGCGACGTCGGCGACCGCTTGCGATTTATGAGAACACATCAAAAATTATATCGCCGATTGTCCGTGATCGTCGCCGACCATCGGCGATGACACCGCAGGAAACAAAAAAGTTTGTTTCTCGCGACCATCGCCAATCATCGCTGACTGCCACCTGCTTGAAAAATCTATGAGAAATGAGTAAAAGTTGTTTCTTCCTCAACAAGCAAGGAAATAATCAACTGAAGTTTGACGGAAATCATGAACTTTACGTTGAACGGGGCCATTTTGTTCCCTGGTGGGAAATTTCGAAACACATCGGCTGTCATCTGCGACGATCACCAATGTATGAGAACATTCGTGCATTCGCGATCGGCGAGCATAGGCAATAAGCGTCGCCGATCGTCGGTGACTGTTTGCGATGAATGAGAATTAGGCTTAACTATCAATGAATGCAGCGATTTTCGTCCGAAAGGAAGAAAGGGATTTGCTCTCTTTAGTTTCCTGATCTCTTTAATAGGATTCCAAAGAAATGACCCATCGTACATAAAACTTTTTTTCAAATTATTAGTCCGCGGTTGCCCTAAACAAAGAGTATACTTGAAATGTTTCGAAGATTATAACTAGTCATCTCAATTTTATAAGTGAATAAGTTAGTGAGTGATTGAGGGCCCATGCTATTTACTAATTTATACATCATATTTGCCTTGACTTTCCTCCTTTCTAATTTAAGTGTCTTTCAGGAGTTTCAGCCCAATGCTTGCAATGCTACAGAATGATCTGTGTCATTTCTCATATTCATGATAATTCGTGCAGCTCCATTTTGGAGTTTGTGAAGTCGTTTTGATTGTGTTTCAGCGACCTCTCATACTTCACAGCAGTAATCGCAGTATGGGCGAATAATAGCATTATAAACGGAAAGAATTGCCTGTCAACAAAATCCTAAACTCCTGATATTATCTTCCTGCAAATATTTTCAATTTAATATTCTGTTCAACTTAAAGGGAAATAAAAAAAAAACAATACCAGCCGACACTTTCAAAAAATATAATACAAAACATAATCCGAAGATAAGCATCTTGAAACCCAAAATATGAGTCAAACAAGAAAGTGAGTGAGTAATATTTCGATTTTATTACAAAATCATCATCAGACTAACTAAAGTTACAATATACACATGGTCTTATATACAAGTTGGCAAGGCATGATGACAGCTTAACGGAAGTCTCAATCAGAACCACGACAGTTGCAGTGAGATGTTAGTGTGATGAAATGTGGGTGTATCGATTAAGAAAAAAGCTTGAGTTCTTTGCTGGCTTTGAGTCCAGTTTTTTAACTGGGTGAATGATACTTGATATATAGAGCTTCAAGCAACAAGAGTAAGTTAGGTGTGCAAGAATAAATAGTGTGAAGAATTCGAGAGTTGTCAGATATTAAGTTGGAAATAAAAGTGGAAACGTTATTGTCAGCGTCAGTTGGGTTGTTAAGTTTGTCAAAAACAAAGTGTAGGTTTACAATGTATTGCACATGTTCGCAGTTGTGAAAATGTTGTCCAATAGCACTTTTGGTCGGATTGGTATGTTCAGCGAGTCGCGTCTGTAAACGTCTTTCTGTTTTCCCAATATACGTTGCGGAACAGCCAGGACATGTCACCTCATAAACTACATTAGATTTTGAAAGATTCGGAATTTTGTCTTTGTTGGAAAGGAAATAAGAAAACTTTTTGTTGTCATAAACAACTATAAAATTTACAGGAACAGTTAGGCCTCTTTGTATATTCTTTATGCAACTTTTAACTAAAGTTTCACCTTGTTTACCAAGGTATGGAACGCGAACCCAAACCTTAGGCCTAGTGTCGTTTTCA